ATAGCAATGATCTCTAGCAGTCTCATGTGATCTGTCTCAAGGCTAAAACTGTCTTCTAAAGTAGATCCCCAGTTTACAACAATCGCAATAGCATGTCTGCAGCCTCTGACGATCTATTCTAACATACTTGATACAGTCTCTGACCGCTTTCTGTAGCATTACAACTAGTGATTGTTATGTGTGGCCCTTTGGTGATGTTGGGGGCTACGCTTGAGGACCACTATATCATGAAATTTGACCACCACTGCTCTAGAGCTATAGGAGTGATTTTTTTTTTGTAACATTACTTAAATCACTAGTAATTAATCACTAAGGAGTATGTTTAAAAAAACAGCAGTACGGTCACACGGCAGCCAAAAAAAGAGCCTCACAAATGTGCATAGCGCTCCATTGGCGCAGGACAATAAACATGAATGGGAGGATAAAAACAAAGTGCTGGGAGGAGAGCTTGGACATGTGACCTGTCAAGGTAACTCACAGAGTTCTCTTTGCTGCATGAAGAAGAGAGAACTTTGGGTCAAACACAGGCTTAGTACCATGGCTTGCCTTTTCTAAATAGACAACAAAATGTAAGCCGTGGTCAGGGTGGAGTATAATGGAAAGAGTAGAAACCAGCTCCTGAAAACATCAGGAAAGACAATGGTGGCGCGGAATCCAGTTTGTGGCGACGGAGCAGTATTCACTGAGCTGGTAAGTATGCCCATGTGGATCCCACCAGTGAGGTAAGAGGGGTTAAGCAAAACCACACACATGGGAGGAGGTGAAGTTCCGCTTTAATATTTAGAATATTTAGCAATTGTGACAGCTTGATCGAGCTACTATAACTTCATCCTCCAGAACCTTTTTTTTTTTTTACTTTGGATATAGTATGCAAAGGTTGGAGCCCTGTCAGCTTTAGATTAGGCCTCTCCATGTGCCCTGGTGACCATTGTCACTGGGTTCAAAAGTGATGGCAAATCCAAAATGTCGCCATTGTCATCGTAACAAAAGGTGAAAGGAAATCTTACAATGTAGACACCGGCTCCATTGACATCTGTCTATGGGAGGATTCTCCTCGTCACTTTAAGGAGATCTCCTATGCATTATTTCATAATGCGGCCTAGATTTATTTTGATACATTCGGGACTACTTTTTCATTTGAGTTTTGACAGAGCTTTTCCAGAAGTGCTCTAAGCTGCGTGCTACAGATGTAGTGCATTGCTTTGAGCATTCCCTGTCCAGAAAGAGATATTTCTGTATAAATAATAGTCATTCAGATACTGGCAGGTAAGTGCAGGCTTGGGATTTAGTGTTAAAAAAAAAAATGTTGAGGAATGCATGTTAATGTTTGAGCTGAAAGTGACACTATAAACTCAGGAGTTACATTTTAAAACACAGGCACGTGATCACATATCTGATGGAGGGTCCCTGCACAGTCACAAAACATTGTTTTTCTATGAGATCATGCAATACAGATGTATTCAGAGATTAAGTCTTGTACGTCTATCATTTGGTTGCCATGCCCCCCATGAAGGCTCCCTGTGCTAGGGTCATCCAGCGTTAACTCCAACCAGCCTTCCCTACAAAGTGAATCACCAAGCAGCTCTAGGGCTATTAATGCACTTGGAACATGCTTGGTATTACCGGTGCACAAAAACATGATAGAAACCAATTTGCTTTCATTAGGCTTCAAAGTTGTGCTGGAAAACGCTGAGCAGGTTCAAAAGGAAAAGTATAGTGTATTCTCGATGAGTGCATATTATGAGTTATTATTGCATATTAAGCTAAATGAATTATAAATATAAAAGGAATTATGACTTTTCCACTTATTCAAGCTTCCTCTTTCATATTTTTGCTGAGCGACATTTTCATATTTTTGCTGAGCGACATTCGGCTCGGCTGTTCTGCACTGTCCCTCAGAGGTACCGAGCAGAACAGAAAAAGTGTTAAAAAAGGTAAAAAAAGTAAATAGAAAACGATTGTGCGGAGCTAGCAGTGACAGCTAGCTCCGCCCAATAGTTTCCTATTGTCCGGCGGCTCTGCTGCTGCCGAAAAAAAACGAAAAAAAAAACTCTCCCGGGCGCTCTGGGAGCCTCCCGCTCCCGGCCACCCAGGAGAGAAACACCGCTGTGTCTTTTTTTTTCTTTATTCTGACACGGAGCGATGTCAGAATAGAAAAAAAAAAAAAAGAGACATTTTCCCATTGAAAAACATTGGTACATTACTATTGGCTAATAAAGAAAAAAAGACACAGCAGTGCTTCTCTCCTTGCCGGTCGGGAGCAGGAGACTCCCGGGCCGCCAGGGAGAGTTAGCTGTTTGGAGATCAGTGTCCCTGGTTAGCAGGTAACCAGGGACGCTGATCTCTCTGAAAGTGGCCGGAGCCAGCCGTAAGATCACGGCTGGCTCCGCCCAGCTGTCAGAAGCAGGCTGTCGGCCGGCCAATGGCCGGCCGCTCAGCCAGCTTCGGCTTTCAGCACGGCTCAACCGAGCCGATGCATATGCGTTCGGCTCGGCTGAGCCACTCGGCCATGTTCGGGAGCTGTGCTATTGTGAATAGCCCGTACAGCACCCCTTCGGTTCTACTGAACCGAAGGGGTCCTGGGGCCGAAGGATCGGCCGAAGCTATTGCCAGATCCTTCGGCAGCTTCGTGAATAGACCCCTTAGAGGTTTACAGAACAAGCCTTGTTATTATTATTAATCAGAATTTATATAGCTCCAGCAGTTTAAAAAATGAAGGGAGACAGTACAGTTCCAATACAATTCAATACAGGTTGGTTAGGAGGGCCCTGCATGTGAGAGCTTACATGCAAGTAGGAGGAGCAAGGGATGCATTCATTGTGAGGGATGAGCTGATGGAAGAAGAAGTACAGTTATTATGTGGCGGTGGGATAGGCTTTCCTAAACAGATGAGTTTTCAAGGATCGCCTAAAGATGGGCAGAGTAGGAAACAAGCAGACAGATTGGGGTATACAGTTCCAAAGGATGATAGAGCCTCTGGAGGAGGCAAGGGAGGAGGTGACAAGGGAGCTAGACAGAAGGATGTCTTTAGAGAAGTGGAGAAGTGGAGAGGACGGTTTAGGTGATATTTTGAAATGAGGTGGAGATATAGCTGGGGGCAGAGTTGTAGATGGCTTTGTATGTTAGTATTTTGAATTTTACTCCTTAGATGAGTGTGGCAGCAGGATTCATTCTAGACTGAAGGGGGATAGCCTGTGTACAGGTAGATCAATGAGGAAGAAGTAACAATAGTCAAGGCAAGAGATTACAAGGAAGTGACTTAGAAGCCTAGTGGTGTCATTTGTTAAAATGGGTCGGATTTGGGAAATGAGGTTAAGTTGGCTAGATTTTGATAATGATTCAATGTGGGGATAAAAGGAAAGGTCAGAATCAAGAATTACACTAAGCACCCTGGCCTGTTGATCATTGTGCAGTTGATTGCAATGAAGTCGGAAGAGGGGACACAGAGGGGAGGAAATATCATGAGCATTTTACATTTACAATTCTTCACATGAAGCACTATGTCAAATAGATGATGAAGGAATCAGGAAGGCTGATGTAAAAGGAATACTTTATAATGATATTTGTTTGTAATACTTTGGTTAAATAGAAATAATGTCAGTTTACTTATGTTATACATACAATTCTTCACATACCAATTAGCTGAAAGTCACACTGCAGGCTGGAGGAATAAAAAGCTTTCTCTTAATCCTCCCGCACAACATGCTTGCCTTATTGAGCGGTGTCGCACTTATCCAGTTGGGCGAAAATGTCAAATGAGATTAAACTGATGCCATTTTTCTTTCACCAAGTCTCACATAAGCTAGAAATATAAGCCTGTTTAATCAATAAAAGAAAAAAAAAAAACATGTTGCAGAGTAGCAGTATGACAATACCAAAATGTGTGGAACATTGAGATAAGAGTGTATAAACGCATCAGTTGTGGTATAAATGCATCACCATCATGTACTTGTAATGAGGTTTTGGGGATTTAGGTTTTGGTTTGTGATGTTTGGAAGTGAAGTCAAAGGCTGGTCACACATATGCCAATTTCCAGGCTAATTCAACAAATTCTACAAGCTTTCGACTGCGAAAGCAGTTTCATGGATCAAAGCAACCTACCACCAACAGTGTCAGTCAGAACCAAAAAACAATAAGGTTGCCTTGATCCCATCAATTTGGTGATGGGAAGCTATTTGAAACTGCTTGAAATTGGCAGAAAATTGCCATATGTGTGGCCAATATAAAGGCTGCATTTTTAGGAGTGGAATAGAGTTCTTTAGCTACCATCTTCCAAGTTGCTTCTGCCTTTCTGAGGTTTATGGCAGAAGTACTGGTATTGGAAGTCAAGGTTGGCATCTTCTGTGTAGGGAGAGAGTGAGAAGGAGAAGATGATAGCAGAAGTTGTTCTGTGAATGTGCCCCAAGCAACTACTCTATACCTAAAGAAATGGGTGTTCCTAATTCTTGGAGACAGAAGGTGGATGAAGATGTGCCGAAATTGGGAGGACTTCAGTCAGCGGGTACTTCTACTCTCTGAGGATGCAGTGTCAAGTACTAGTATGTCACCTTCACTGTTTCCTTCTGTGTGGGTGCAACACCTTCAGGGACCAGACTGAATAAACTAATGTTAGTTTTTTAGTGATAAGCAAACTGTCCAGCGTTGATTCAATTTCTGGGTTCAGCCAGAAATTTTGGTTTGATTATTGTCCAGGCAAATAAACCCAAGGTCATTAGTTGCTAAGATTCTGGCGGCCCACCAGGCAGGAAGCGGAGGTAAGTCCTCCTAATAAAATTCAGATGGTACGAAATCCTGACAGTGGTTTTAGTCATTCCCTACTCTATCTAACGTAGACATTTTTGCTTTAGATATACTTTAAATTAAATGTCTAAATTGCTGATGTTGTTTGATGCAAGTTTTCTCCTTAAATAAATATATTATAAGAACATTATTAATATTTGAATTTGAATGTGTCTTTCAAGTACATACCTTAATTGATTAATATGATTTTTGTCTTTTAGAACTAAAAATGGCCATCTACTGAGCTTTGAACCGTGGAACGTCTATAGTTGTTTGTCTTTATTTTTTTTTTAATGATACTGACATTGTGAGTCCGGCCTCCAAACATGTCTACTGATGTAGAGTCTACGACCAGCACTTCAACTGAGGTGGCACCAGTCAGCAAACCTGCAACAAAGAAGGAAAAGAAAAAAGGTACCTTTCCTAATGTGTTTACTGAGGTGCCTGTAAAAAAATCACATCAGTCCATCCAGTTTAAAGTAGATGGTGACGTGTTGAATCCCCCATTGGCTTCTTATATATCGCAGGAATTTAGTTGGAGAAATTTGTGTGCTTGAGTTTTCAGCTCCACCCATCCACCCATCTGTAAAGGACAGTATTAGTTGTCTCCTTTCTCTGTTGGATTGTTCATGCATTTTACAGTATGAAGAATGCAACCAAATAAAGTAAATCAAATACCCAGCAGGTGAACGGGTCCCCTTCTGTGTTATTCTATGGATCTAGACAAGATGCGGGACTTTGGGATGATTATCATAGATATATACCTCCCAACTTTCTGAGATAATAAAGATGGACACCTTGTATCACAGTGTATTTAGGCAATGGACACACACCTGCAACGCCTCCCGCTGTGCAGATCATTAAGAAATTAAAAGCCAAAAATGATTGGTTCATCCCAAAATTGGGAAAAACAAACAAAATAATTAAGAGATAAGATAAATGTTTTAGTGCAGAATAACACTTTTGATAGTTAAAGTGACATCAACGGCAAAATACCCCCCCACAGTGCTAATGTAAGGACTTACCTTAAATGATGCCCCTTAATCTGATCATCTTCTTTCCTGGAGTTTTCATCTGTCCCTCCAGCGCTGGTGCGGGTCTCCGATCCAGTGCTGACTCCTCTGTGCTTACTGGCACTTCCTGTCCCATGGTGTCTGCATGCAGGTGCACACTGCTCCATATACTTACCTTGTGTCTCTCCTCGTCTCCCGGCCGAACATCTAAACTGCGCATGTGCCCGCCCCAAGATCCTTTGCGGCCGCGCGGGAAATTTTCAGATGTTCAGACAGGAGCGTGCGGTGGAGACACAGGTAAGTATTAACCCTTTGAAAACGTTTTAAAAAAAAATCATTTTGCATATATCTACTGCTTGCTAGAAGTAGATATATGCAAAAACACACAAGGGTTTAATAACCCTTTAAACATTTTCATAGACATTTGTTCATCAGACCAGAAAGAGGGAGACAACTAAGGAGGAAAGCGGGACAGAGGGATTTTGTTCAAAATGAGGGACAGTTGGGAGGTTTGTAGATGTCATATTTCCAGTGCTATTAAGTGTCTCAGGCAGGCATTTTGTGTTTTCTGCTCGTTTTATTGAACGTGTGGTGCTAAGGTGGTGGTGATAGAAGTATAATTTTGTATTTTGGTTAGTTCCCATTGAAATCCAATGGTAGGAGTCACTCTTCCATTGACCACCAATGTGAGGGGGCAGTATTCCATTGACCACCAAGAGTAAACTACAATTTCGAAGTTTGTGTTTTATGGCCATTGTTATTTGTTTAATTTAATTGTTATTGCTGTATAGAGCAGAAACAGTGTTGTAAAATATTCTGCTCTGGGTATCAAATACTCTAGTTATGCCATTTTCTTCTTCTTAAAATATCCTACAACCTACTGATCATGCTAATGTACCATGACCTGTAGAAGTGATCAATTTTAGACAGGGGTTCCCTGTCACCTCAAATTATTTCAAGGGTTCCTCTGGCGTAAAGAAGTTGAGAAAAGATGCTTTAAAGGGTGGGTGTCATTTGGAGGCCTCAGAGTGCTTATTTATAATATAGTCCAAACAGGGATTAAATAGAAACTTCGAAATAGCTAATGCACATAAGCGGCTGAAGACTTCCTGAGCTCTGTCTCCATCTAAATAGCCCATGATTGCGCTTGAGAACTGTTAAGCACAGCCTATGCATCAGGAATGCTGCTGGCAGGATTCAGTGAATCTTACTGCTAGCCAATAACTGTATTAACGTTTTTCTAACTTTTATTAAATCTTGCATCATATCTATACCCACATCTGCATCAGCATCTCAAGCAGGAGCATAGTAGGGATGAACCAAACTTTTTTTTCTTATAAACCTATTTATCCTGTCCTCCATTCCCTGCCTTAAGCCACTTACAGCAATAAATATAAGAAACAAGGGGCTGTGGCTATTATATGGTTAAGCCAAACCATGTACTTTCAGAGCCACACACATCTGGCTTGCATGTTAAGTGCTGAATAAACTACCCACTGAAACCGCAGAAATCTGATAGTACAGGCTTCCTGGGCAGATTTACAGTCCCTCTGCTGCTTGTCAAGGATATCATTACCCTATTGTGTTACACTAGAATGTACACTTTCCATGGGACTTATAGCTGCTTATTGTTCGAACAATTAAACTTGTGAAAACTATATATAGTCTTATACAGTCAGGCAGGGTGAATGTAAATGGTGAAATACAAAGTGTAGTAACCCAAAAAAATCCAATAAAATGTCAGTCAATAGTAATCTGATGCATGAAAAGGCAGTTTTACCTAAAACTGATGTCTTAAAGCAGAATTCCAGGCACATAAAATCTTAACCCTTGCAGCAGGGCTATCCCTGCTCTCCCTCCGCTCTAGCAAAGGTCCTGTGAGTCATCATGTCCCATATAGTGTGCATTGGACAAGAGGACACCGAGGGACATACCATTGCTGGAGCTCCAGGAGACATGCCCTAGGCTTGCTCTAAGACAGTGGTTCTCAACTTGTGTAACCTCAGGACCCACATTTGTCCTTGATCGTTAAGTCGTGACCCAAGTCGCACCACACTAGAACACGCAGAATTATGGTACCACGTGCTCAAAGAACAGCAGTAGAACGGTTATAGTATTGTGCGGTCAGAAAATGATGCCTTTCCTACGTACTGTGCAGATCACATGTGTGTCCTTGTTACATGTGGCTCTGAAGAAACAAGATAGTCTCTCTAGCAAGCTGAAGGCACTTCGACTAAGTCCATCCCTGGGTGTGCATGGTGCATGTAAGTACCTGAAGAATATTGGGCTCATGTAACTCCAGCTGCAAAGTCTCCATGTGAAACAGGCACAGTTCCAATCTTCTGGAAGAGAACAGTAGCTGGGGTAAGGATGGCTGTAACCTCTGAATCTGCAGTCACATCACTGCTGATAAATGGATTCAGCTTGGCAGTTGTATGGATTTCAGGAATGTCCTGCTTGCCATGGACACATTTTATCTCTGTGCTAGAGATGTTCTGTTCTGCCTCGTGCAGTAGACTCAGCTGGTTTTGAGCAATGTCTTTTGCAGAAAGATGATTTTGGTATGTATACCAGTCCTGACAGTAAGCATCTGTGAGCTTGGTGTGATAGCAGTGTGTGGTATGGACTAACCTTGCAGCACTGCGGTCAGGCCTTGTCCACTTGGTGAAGTGACAGTCCAAGACGAATTCTTGTTCCAATCTGGTGACAAGGGTGTTGCCTTCAGGACGAATCTCTGGATCGATGTCAGGATCTAGAAGACTGAAGTCATCAGTTGGGGTTTCTTCTGGATCATCCAGCAAGAATTCAGGACCTTGAGTCTTCGATAGCAGGTCTATGGCTTCTTCATGAAGAGGAGAATCATCTTGCACGATGACTGGTGTTTAAGACTCCGATGAGTTTCCCGAGAGGTTTACTGCTTGTGGAGTCACTGGAGTGATGCTTGAAGAATCAGGTGCGTTGTCCTGGGTGCTTGCATCAGTGGATTCCTGCACGTCCGTGCTATTGAAGGAAAGCTGGTGCGTAGTCTTACCAGAACTATTGCAGGGTGATGTTGCAATGTTGTCTTGGTTTACCTGTACGATGAGCATACATCACCTGAGGCATGAGGTTTGCAATCTCGTTCGATTCCAATAAGTACCCAACCTAGATCAGTCTTTTTGGGCATAAGGATCATCATTCCAGCCATTGTGCTGCTGACGTACCTTATGTACTCTCAGGATGTCTCTGCCTAAGAGAAGCATAATCCAGTGGAGGGATGCAGTCAGCTAAATGTTTTAGGTGAGGTTCACGAAGTGCATCCTCTGGTGTAGGAATTTCCTCCCTGTCGTTAGGTAACTGATTGCACTCAATGATCTGAGGAAGATCAATTCTCTCCGTTCCTTTTATAGGAGAAATGATGAATTCAGCATTGGTAGTTCTTCCTGCGAGTTGCACTGTACTGGATAGCATGTTACCCTTAATGCGAAATAAGTCAAAGAACTCTGAAGTGGCAAGTGAGTG